CTTTGCTACAGCCTACATGTCATATTACACCAATAATTATAAACATATTTTATTTGATCATCGTATATATAACTTAAATCCTTTTTTTTTTCTTTTTTGTCAAACAAGTTTTATTTGTGTGCTTTATATTTAGCACCATAACCTATGGATCAATGGCAACTATGGGGTACTTAATGTATGGACAAAATTTAATGTCACAAATAACATTAAATCTCCTTACTAGGAAAATTAGTTAAAAAATCGCGATATATACGACACTCGTTAATCCAATAACAAAGTATGCTCTTATCGTCTCTCCAATTGCAACGGCTATTGAAGATAAATTACCTTTACGAAAGAGTAAATTTATCATAAGCTACTTCATCAGAACATTTTTAGTTTTCAACACTGTCATTGTGGCGTTAACCGTTCCATTCTTTGGATATGTCATGACATTTACCGGCGCTCTTTTGGGCATTACCGTGTCGATATTGTTACCATGATATTGGTTTTTGGTTCTTCAGTTGCCATATCTGGAACTTACACTTCTTTGAAAAACATTATTAGTCATGTCTAGAGGTGACAGATGAACGGTTTGGACAAAATTTGGATGGGTCAGAATGGACTGAATCAATGGGTCGTTGCTCAATCATGTCCCAAGTCAAGATGAGCTAAATAATGGTTTGTAGATTACAACTAATACATAGTAATGAAAAGCAAGCACGCATACAGTATCTCATCCGTTATAATAAAGAACACAAGTGCTGATAGCTAGCACTGTTTATACTTGATAAACAGTTATTAATGTTGGAAGAAGGCATACATGTCTTGAGAATTTGTATGCGCTAGCTCGATCTGATCTGATCTGCAAAGAACATATATTGTATTAGTTAAAAGTAAAATTGGACAACACATAACATTTGTAAAAGTAATAAGTTAATCTGTTAATGAAGCATACCTCAATCATAGAAGAAGGGCTGGAAGAAGGGCCGGCTCTTGCCTATGAATTTTTAGGCCAATGCCTTAGGCCTCCAAAAATTGGGGGCCTCAATTTTTTATTAAAATAAAATCATGTTTAATTTTTTCATGAAAAAATTAATTATTTATATAAAAAGTGTGTATATATATATATATATATATATATTCTTCGCTGACACTCACATTATTTATCTTTTTTAACTCCTTCTGTACTCTATTTCTTCAAATCTTTGATAGTTAGAGTAATATTCTGTCAAAAATATGAATCAATAGCCGAAAAGTGTTGAACAAAGTAAATTACAAATATTTTTTTATTTCTTCGTAACTTTTCATATTAAAGTAGGGTATACCAAGTTATTAACTTTTTGAATCAGATTCTATGATTCTAACTCTCATCTTTATTTAAAATTTATCAATTTATTACTTATAGAACTATAGTATTGATTCATATAATAATTGTCTCAATAAAATGATGTTTTTCAATGTTGAATTGATAAAGTCTTGCTTAAAATAATAATTAAAAAAAGTATTTGACAAAATTATTTATAAAAAAAATATTAAGGAGTAATTTACATCTAAAAAATTTAGAAAAATAAATAAATACAGGATAGAATTTTACCCGAAGCTTTAGCCAGCCTTGGATAGAAATTTACCCGAAGCTTGTCTTCTCCAGTCATTTCTTCAACATATTCCTTAATATTGAAGATCGACTCTTTAAGCTGAGGGCTTAACTATGCAGTGATAAGCTCTAATGACGCAATATCTCCAAAAACTGTCTGGGATCTCCATAAGCTTTTACAGGAAACCCTACCGAGTTGGAGTTATCACAAGAACTAGCAGCGGTTCATCCAGTATTCCACATCTCTATGTTGAAAAAGTGCATAGGTGATCCTTCATTGATCCTACCGACTGAAAGTGTTAAGATCAAGGATAACTTATCTTATGAGGAAGTGCCGGTTCAGATTTTAGATCGCCAAGTTCGTAGGTTGAGAACGAAAGATGTGGCGTCAGTCAAGGTTCTTTGGAGGAACCAATTTATTGAGGAAGCCACTTGGGAAGCCGAAGAGGACATGAAGAAGAGATATCCGCATCTTTTTGAATCCGGCGGGAATGCGGATTAAGGTATTAATTTCCTTCTTAGTGCTCTTTAATATATAATGGGCATGTTGTTGTTGTTGTTGTTGTTGTTTGCGTGATTTCTTGTTGGGTGTTTGAGTTTGATGTTACACCCTTAGTTTTGTAAAAGTAACCTCATTCGAGGACGAATGTTCCCAAGGGGGAGATATTGTAACATCCGACAATTTGAAATAGCTTTGAAGAGGCTTAGGATTGGAATTTTTCTTTTTTTGGAAAGAATTTTAAAGTTTTGGAAATTTGGCTAAGTATGGAAAAGGTGAGTTTTTGGCCAACTTTGATCAGTCGTAACTTCTAGCTCATGATGAGTTAGAAGTATTTCCAGTTATGGTTGCATAGCCCTCGGAACGATCTTTCCAACGCCACCGAGTTTGCTCAATTCCGAGTCTGTATGAGCGAGTTATGACCTTTGAAAGTTGGGCAGTTGACAAGGAAATCCGTCCGGGAATCATTAAGGGCATTTTGGTCTTTTCCCTAGCCTTTTATTTTGGTTTTATAAATGTGTTAGGCTGATCATTTTGATCAGTTTTACCATTTTAAAAGAAGTGAGAGTGAGGGTTTTGAGAGAAGAAGAAGAGAAGAAGAAGAGAAGAAGAGAAGAAGAGAAGAAGAGGAGATCAAGCAAGGAGATCATCGTGGATTTTCGTCGGGGGTGATCCCTACCAAGGTATGTGAGCTTTTAGTGTTGGGTGATCCTTTCCCCCACACACCTAACCCCTTTTATTCATTAAGAAAGGTTTGGTTATGTTGTTAAAGTTGGTTGTTGTTGTTGTTGGAATTATTGGGGGTTGTGGAACATGATTGGATTGTGTTTTGAGTGGTATTCTATTGAATGTTGAGGGATATTATGTTTCTAAGTGATTGGGGCTGGAACCCTTGAGGTTAGAGGATTTAGAGTTGGAGACGTGAAGGAGAAAGTCGGGCAGCTTGCGAGGAGCACGTCCGCATCGCGGACTTGTTCCCTCTGTGAACAAAAATCTTCTCCGCGTCGCGGACAGGACGCGGACTCCACTGTTTTCAGAATTTATGTTCGAAGATTTTCTTTAGTTTGGCTGTCCCAAATAATTCCTAAATCATTCCTAAACACCCTGGGGTCCTTCCAAATACCAATCAAGTCCTTGAATCCATAATTAAATTCAAGAAAGTTAGGATCAAGTCAAGTGAAGTTAGAAGTCAAGTGGAGTTAGGACCAAGCTTAGAAGTTAAGCAAGTCAAAGCAAGTCTTTAAAGCTTTTCAAGAGTCGTTATTGAACGTCTTAACGTCGTTTCAAGTTTCAAGTTGAGTTAAGAGTTTCAAGTCAAAAAGTAAAGAGTTTAAGTAAAGTAAGGAGTAAAGAGTCGAGTCCATTTCTCCAAAGTTATTAGGGAACTATGTACTTCCCAAAGAAGTTCTAAATGTTTTTACATTTAAGTAAGAAAGGAGCCATGTCTTCCAAAAGAGCCTTTGGGCTAAGTTTTGAGTAATCGTCTCAATCAAAGAAAGAAGTTATTTTAAAAGCATGAGCCAAAGTATTTTTGGGAGTAGTATTGAGCACCGAATTGGGGACACGAGTTCATATTAACTCGACTCTCCATAAGAACCATGCGCCAACATGGGACTTGACGTATCATTCTTTTTAGATGATCACGTAAGATTAGGCTAGTGGATCCACTAAGCAAAAGTAAGGTCCTATATCGATGGCAAGGTATAGGATGGTCCTTTGGCAACGTGAGGTAAAACGTTGTATCATCACTAAGGCTCGTAGTGGTGGTTGTCGGTTAAAGAACCTCCCACAAAAGCTGTATTATGTTTATAAAAGAAAAGTTTAGTTTGTTATCATTTTATCCTTAACGATCTAAGTTGTTTACATTCTTTTACAAGCTTTATATGTATGGCTCGTGTCTTATTGCTTTATATTAAGTTCAGTTATTCTTGAGTTGTACAGAGCCAAGGTAAGTTCTCTTTGTATCCCTTTTTCAAGCTTAAGTTGTTTTTAGCGGTCCAGCTCGCATACTCGTACATTCCATGTACTGATGCCAGTTGGCCTGCATCGTTTTATGATGCAGACGCAGGTACCCAGGATCAGCACTCTGCACGCCGTTGATCCAGTTGGGCACTCTAGAGTCAGTGGTGAGCCTCCTTGCTTCCAGAGGGCTCAGTTATTTTGTTCTCTTAGTTTTGTTTATTAGGGTGTTGCGGGGTCTGTCCCAACATCCATCTAAGTATTTTAGAGGCTTCATAGACAGTCAGTCAGTTAGTTTTGAGTCTCTTATCTATGTATATATGTAAGTATTCTATTTTGAGACTCGAGTAGCCTTTTTGGCCAGGTATGTATCATTTAAGTTGTATATGTCTCTGCATAGCATTGAGTTATTCTGTTGAGTAGGTTTCCGCTGAGTTAAGAAAGCCAGGCCAAGGGTTCGCTTGGGGCCAGCAATGGTCTCCGAGTGCCGGTCCCGCCCAGGGTGTAGGCTCGGGGCGTGACATCATTCTTGAGATCCACCTTCAGGAGTTCAATATTTTCCAGCAAGTTTAGATTTGCATCACTTGCTTCATTCATATTCTCTTCTAAGTTGTGAACAAGAACGAATACCTCCTTGGTAAGTTCTATAACACGTGCCAAGAGAACAAACAATTTGTCATGACGAATAACGTCCTTGAGCACATCATTGAGAATAATCAATAGGAACTCTATCATGACATGAATGTTACACGTAGAAGCTCTAGGAGTACCAGCATTAACCATGTGCTCTTGTAGATGAATCAGAGATTCTCTAAGAATGTCCGGAGAGGCTTCTAGGAGCTGCTTGATGAAACGTTCAACTTCTTCCGACTTTGAACCTTTCAAATTTGTACAACATATGTGCATAACCTCCAGTTCAACAGGAATAACCTCCACAAGTAGATTATCTAGCTTGGAGTGAATATGAGCTGATAAATCCACAATAGTCGAACAGCAGAAGTTTACTACTCTCAGAGCCATAAGTTGAAGATGAGGTAAGACATATTCGATTATTTCATACTCAACGCAACTATTTACTTTCAACCTATGGAAATCTCTTAAATTGCCAAATACATTCTGAAGAAGCTCATGTTGAGTCATTGATGGGAAAATAGATTCAGAACAAAACTTAAGTAGACTTGGGAGATACATGTGGATAGCATCTAAAAGTTCAACAAAACGATCCTCGGTCATGGTTGTTACACGGCTTGGTTCAACATAGCTATGTGAGCTAATATATCTTCTGATATTCTCCAAGAGGTGAAAAAACTTTATATTAACCAGCATGTCTACTCCACTTGGATGAAACAGTGACTGAACCAAATCATGAATCTCATTGGATATGCAAGACATTTCGTCATTACAACTTTCCAAAAATAAAGAGTAATAAAGACCACAAACTGCGGACACAAACGTCAGCTTCAATGTCAACTCTTCAATGTCAAGAGAAGTTCGAACACGCCCACTATTTAACCTCTCTATGAAATCTAGAAGATTGTCGATGTCCTCGCGAAGTACAACGCGGGATGACACCTGCGAAAAGACCAAATGTTGTTTCAAATTATGTTAATACATAGATGGTGATAATTTAGATAGAAAAAGGGAACGACTAATATAGTTGAGGTGTGAAACTCGCCAAAACGTGATAGCTCAGGCATGTTTTGATTGTTGACTCTAATTTTTACAACAAGCAACTGTTACAAGTGCAGAGGACAAAGTGCAGAGGACTTTCCCTTGCTTTTTATGTTCTTCTATAGAACTAATTATTTTTCACTATAATTGAAAAGTTGAAGTCTTTGCCCTTTAAAAAATATATATTTTAAATGTACATTTCTTTTGTTACTTATAATTATATTTTTTTTATTTGTTTAATTTTATATTGGATAATAAATACATAGTGTAAAATAAGCAAATCATGTATTAGTATTGACATTGCTTAAAGTGCATTAAGCATGTTTTAGTCTTAAAATGCAAATATTCATTTAATTTGAAATTAAAAATGTTTTCCCCTTGTTATTACATAATTTTATTTTATATTGAAAAATTATAGGATTTCTTTTTACTTTTATGATACAATAAAACTAAATGAAACATTTTCAATATTTTTCATCTAAAAAAAGACTAAAATATTTTCTCCATGTTGAATTCTTAAGCAGAGTACTATTTATTCATGAAAATATGAGTAAATATGGGTAAACTAGTATTTTACCTAACCCATTTATTACCCAATCCATTTTTACTCATATCAAATATGGGCGGGTTGAATTATTACCCATTTTCAACCCGCCCAAATTTTACCCAACCCACCCATTTGTCACCCCTATTCTTAAGCCATTCCGAACATGTTGTACTTAGGCCACCAAGGTCCGATTCTCATGATCTAATACAAGGTTTGATTATATTCTTGCCCTTACATTTATCAACCATAGCAGATGATCTAGTACATAGAATTTAACTTGTACCAGAAAGATTAAATCATTGATTCTTATAGGTTATAAATTTTATATTCACCATCTAAGTTACATAAAGCAACATACTTACAAGAATATATTAATTATGCGAATGAAAAATAATAATTATGCAACATACCAATGATTTGTTATCTTCATCCAAATCAAAGAGACGTTGATCATAACGAATGGTAATTCCTCGTGCCATCATACCAGAAGAAGACCAATCGTTTGAACCTCCTATGAAGTCAAACAACTTTTCCTTTCTATATTTTATATAACAAAAGTCATGCACAAGATCCTGAATTTTGCAAATAGAATTATCGAAAGGTATTACCAAGCTACTTGAAATTAACTCATCCACTACTTCTTCTGCACTTCTCATCTCAATCTGCTGCACAAATCCATGAGAAATCCACAAATCTTTCAACTCGGAGATCATTATATCTTCGCCCTTTGGATAACGTGCAAGGCAAATAAAACACGGCTTTACGTGATCTGCCAAATGGTCATAACTTAATTGTATAAACTTCACCACTTCCTCTTCATCCTTAAAAATAAAGGAACTCAAATTATTGAGAACTTCAAGCCACAAAGCCTCTTTTTTTTCCTTCCTTGAAATGACTCCACCGATTAGATCAAGTACCAAAGGAAGCCCATCACATTTTCGGGCTATCATTTTTCCGACATCCTTTAGTTCATCAGGGCAACGTTCTTCTCCGAATACCTTTTTCTCTAATAACTCCCAACTTTCTTCTGATTTTAGCAATTGAAGATAAAGAGGATCACTGTGGTATTTTCCATGCAAAGCAACTTCCTTTTTCCGACTTGTTAAAATCACTCTGCTTCCTTTCCGAAATTCAGGAAAAGGTCTTGTTAGCTCTTCCAATGTTGCAGTATCCCACAAGTCATCCAAGACAATAAGGTACCGCTTTCCACATAGATTTTTCCGCAGATTATCAGCAACGTCATCATCTATGTCATCCTCACTGAATCTTTCTTTCAAACCAATGACTTGATTGAAAATTTTCTGCAACAACTTTTTCTCATTACGTTCCTGGTCGACTGTGCACCAAGCACAAACATCGAAATGATCAACAATGGACTTATCATTATACACTCTGTAAGCCATAGTAGTTTTTCCAATCCCTGGCATGCCGACTATGGAAATGACATCTATCTCAGCTGGTCCACTGGTGAGCTTCCTAATTATCCACTCTGTCTCCTCCTCAAAACCTACAATTATTTTACCAACTGTACTCGATGAGTTTCTTTCAACCAGCTTGTTGGGAACGTTTGCAACAATAATACCGCTGCTCTTGAGGATCTTCTCTTGTACCTCTCTTTTGACAAGCATGATCTTTTCTATGGTATCAGGAAGTATGAAGATAAGCTGCAATAGACCATGATCTCGGGCAAGAATTGAGTTAATGCCATGTTGCGCCTCATATGCCACATCTAGAAAACGAGTCCAAAGATCTCTATGCAGCTCTTGCTCAACATACCCAAAGAACGATCTTATGATTTCCAGGTCTTCCTTTAGCAGCCCGATTTCTTCTTTTATCAAAGAAACTGAATAAGCATTGGAATTGACCAAGTTATTTAAGTTTGTGAGTAGAAGAGTCATGAAGAGCGGTCCATCACTCATGGGGAAGCAGAGCTGAGACGAGTCTGCACGGGCTTTTAAGAAACTATACTTGAGATCTTCCTTGAGGAATTCAATACTTTCCAGCAAGTTTTGATTTGCATCACTTGTTTCATTCATATTCTCTTCTAAGTTGCGAACAAGAACGAATACCTCCTTGGTAAGTTCTATAACACGTGCCAAGAGAACAAACAATTTGTCATGACGAATAACGTCCTTGAGCACATCAGTAAGAATAATCAATAGGAACTCTATCATGACATGAATGGTATACGTAGAAGCGCTAGGAGTAAGAGCATTAACCATGTGTTGTTGTATATGAATCAGAGATTCTCTAAGAATGTCCGGAGAGGCTTCTACGAGCTGCTTGATGAAAAGTCCAACTTCTTCCAACTTTGAACCTTTCAAATTTGTACAACATATGTGCATAACCTCCAGTTCAACAGGAATAACCTCCACAAGTAGATTAGCTAGCTTGGAGTCAACTAGGGAGTCATCTAATCCATAGAATGTGTCCACTCGATAATCCCAAAGAGTAAAACAACAGAAGTTTACTACTCTCAGAGCCATAAGTTGAAGATGAGGTAAGACATATTCGATTGTTTCATACTCAACACAACCATTTACTTTCAACCTATGGAAATCTCTTAAATTGCCAATTACATTCTGAAGAAGCTCATATTGAGTCATTGATGGGAAAATTGATTCAGAACAACACTTGAGTAGACGTTGGAGATACATGAGGATGGCATCTAAAAGTTCAACGAAACGATCCGCGGTCATGGTTGTTACACGACTTGGTTCAGCATATATATGTGAGCTAATATAACTTCTGATATTCTCCAAGAGGTCATAAAACTCTTTAGTAACCAGAATGCCTACTCCACTTGGATGAAACAGTGACTGAACCAAATCATGAATCTCATTTGACATTTCGTCATTACAGCTTTCCAAAAAGAAAGTGTAATAAAGATGACAAAATGCGGACAAAAACGTCAGCCTCAATGTCAACTTTTCAATTTGATCCATGTCAAGAAAAGTTCGAACACGCCCACTATTTAACCTCTCTATGAAATCTAGAAGATTGACAATGTCCTCGCCAAGTACAACGCGGGATGACACCTGCCAAAAGACCAAATGTTGTTTCAAATTATGTTAATACATAGATGGTGATAGTTTAGATAGAAAAAGGGAACGACTAATATAGTTGAGTTGTGAAACTCGCCAAAACGTGATAGCTCAGGCATGTTTTGATTGTTGACTCTAATTTTTACTCTTACATTACAACAAGCAACTGTTACAAGTGCAGAGGACAAAGTGCAGAGGACTTTCTCTTGCTTTTTATGTTCTCTTCCATAGAACTAATTATTTTTCACTATAATTGAAAAGTTGAAGTCTTTTGCCCTTCAAAAATATATATTTTAAATGTACATTTCTTTTGTTACTTATAATTATATTTTTTTATTTGTTTAATTTTATATTGGATGATAAATACATTGGGTAAATAAGCAAATCATGTATTAGTATTGACATTGCTTAAAGTGCATTAAACATGTTTTAGTCCTAAAATGCAAATATTCATTTACTTTGAAATTAAAAATGTTTTCCCTTGTTATTACATAATTTATTATATTGAAAAATAGGATTATTTTTTTTTACTTTTATGATACAATAAAACTAAATGAAACATTTTCAATATTTTCATCTAAAAAAAGACTAAAATATTTTCTCCATGTTGAATTCTTAAGTAGAGTACTATTTACTCATGAAAATATGGATAAAATATAGGCAAACTAGTATTTTACCCAATCTATTTTTACCCATATCAAATATGGGGGGTTGAATTACTACCCATTTTATCTTGACCCATTGTCAACCCGCCCAAATTTTACCCAACCCGCCCATTTGTCACCCCTATTCTTAAGCCATTCCGAACATGTTGTACTTAGGCCACCAAGGCCCGATTCTCATGATCTAATACAAGGTTTGATTATATTCTTGCCCTTACATTTATCAACTATAGCAGATGATTTAGTACATAGAGTTTAACTTATATCAGAAAGAATAAATCATTGATTCTTATAGGTTATAAAGATTATATTCACCATCTAAGTTACATAAAGCAACAAACATACTTACAAGAATATATTAATTATGTGAATGAAAGAAATAGTTATGCAACATACCAATGATTTGTTATCTTCCCCTTTTGTTGGTCCTTCATTTTCTTTTCCTCTTTCCATTCTCAGTAATCAAGCTAAAGTAGTTTTAAAAAAAAAAAATTCCTTCCTTTCAACTTCTCAAGACAAACAATTTACATCAAACTAAGAATGAAGGAAAATCAAAGGTGTAATTAGAATCTTTTCTTTTCCAGTTGAGAGTTGTGACGGTGTTAAAGATAAGCCCATTAATAATGTCTCACTAGGTGGGGTTCCTATTTGGTCCTTTGCCTTTTAAGAATATATTTTTCGGAAAAGGCTCAAAAATGCCCTTGCCATCAATTTTCATCACATATATAACATCATAGTATATTCATCTTTAATTTTCATTCATATAACGATAAAAAATAATTATAATAAAATAAGAAATTTTTTTATTTTTTAAAAAAAAATTGAAGTAGGATAAACATTCACTAATTTTAAAAAATATTATTAGAAAAAATATGTGTTAAAAAAAAAATATTTATTTGGAAGGGCATTTTTGACCCATTATATAACAATAAGGGCATTTATGGACGAAAGTAATGAGGCAAAGGCATTTTAGGACCAAATAATAAACGGATGACATTTTTGTTCATTTCACGTAATTTAAGGGTGTTTCACTTATGAAACTTGTTTCTCCTGCTTTCATTAGAAAAGTCATTTCCTTATTTTTATAAATTAAAAACTCATTTTTCTAAAGAAAAAAATTGACCAATCAATTTTTTTTAAAAAAAATATATATATTTGAAAAAATTGTGTATGAGAAGTGCTTGGAGGAATTGAGAATTGGAGTATTATTGGTATTAGAAAGAAGAAATAATTAGACATTGAGAATTGGACAATATAAAAAGACAATTCACAAGAATTCTTTAGACTAAAGTCATCTTTTTATATTTTCTTTTTAGTCTCATGGTCAAAAGTTACACATTATCATCAAATATTGTATAATCAAGGGAAAAAGACATAAGATATCCCTATTATATTGTTTACTTGATCAGTGCATGTGTATAACTTAAATCCTTTTTCTTTCTTCTTGTCATACAGGTTTTATTTGTGTGCTTTATATTAAGCATCATAACCTATGGATCAATGGCAACTATGGGGTACTCAATGTATGGACAAAATTTAATGTCACAAATAACATTAAATCTCCCTACTAGGAAAATTAGTTCGAAAATCGCGATATATACGATACTCGTTAATCCAATAACAAAGTATGCTCTTGTTGTTTCTCCAATTGCAACGGCTATTGAAAATAAATTGCCTTTACGAAAGAGTAAATTTATCGTGAGCTACTTCATCAGAACATTTTTGGTCATCAACACGGTCATTGTGGCGTTAACCGTTCCATTTTTTGGATAAGTCATGACATTTACGGGTGCGCTTTTGCGCATTATCGTGTCGATATTGTTACCATGCCTATGTTATCTCAAGATCAAGAAGCCTTCATATTCGGAAGTTATGTTTATTGGGATGATTTTGGTTTATGGTTCTTCAGTCGCCATATCTGAAAGTTACACTTCGTTGAAAAACATTATTAGTCATGTCTAGAGGTGACAAATGAACGGTTTGGACATAATTTGGATGAGTCAGAATGGACTGAATCAATGGGTCGTTGCTCAATCATGTCCTAAGTTTATTTAGATATAATGAACTGAGTCAAGATGGGCTAAATAATGATTTGTAGCCCAAACCACTCAACTTGACCCCACTTTTTTTTTTTTTTTTTGTGAAATATCAATAAATTCTTTAAAATAGCCTACTGCATAAGCTAAATGTTTGTCTTGTACTCAACTTAAACATAACAACAACAACATACCTAGTGTAATCCCACAAATGGGGTCTAGGGAGGTGGTGTGTACACAAAGATGTTGTTTCAAATAAAACATACTAGTAAGCAACAGCTGCATAAGGATATGATGATCTATTAATTACTAGGCTATTCATCAACACAGGAGGGATCTAAGATTACAAGTTTCAAAATTAAAGTCTTTCAACTTTTTTCTTAAATTTCATACTCATACAGATAGTGCCACGTAAAATGAAACAAATAAAAGTACTCAAAGAGCAGTTGTTGACACCCAATTTCAACCCTCCCCGATAATAATTAATTTTCGAGCTTCTTACTTTTCAAACGATTTAAAGTAATTAAGGTTAGAAATTTCCAAAAAAAATAATATAATAGAATAGTTTGCAAGTTATTTCAAATAGTTTGTCACTTGTTATAATTTTTAAATAATAATATGTCTTTTATATAATTATGTATATAATTAGTGTATTTTATAAATATTAGAAAATCGTCTCAAAAGATTTTATTTTTTACATAATTAGTCGGTTAATTGGTTTAGTTAGTTAATACTTATTATGAGTTATCAGTTTATAATTAAGTTAATTATTTCATTTCGCTAAGATTAAGAAACTCATTAATTAATTTATATTAATTCGTCTTATTTAATTTTTTTTTAGCCGAATTACCAATTAAGCTCAATTTGGTTATATTCTTAAATTCAATTGCTATAATTGTGTAATCAAATGGGCCAAATTCTCAACTCCTATCCAAACTCTTTCCTTACCTAATCTTTAAACCCACTTAAAAGACTATTTTTGGGCCAAATTCAACCCCCTTTCCAGCAGCCCAACAGCAATTCAGCAATTTTCATACCAATTCCAGTGATCTCCCAGCCCAAAACGCCCCAGCCCACTTCCTTTCCAGCGACCCGGCCCACCCTCCCTTTTCCTTCACAATAGAAACAGTCCAAACGCTAACAGAACGAGAGAAACCCAGAACTATTCCAGCCTCCCCAACGTTAAACAACGACGCTATTTCCAGCAGCTCACGGCGTCAATACACGGACAGCGCAGGAGCAGTACGATTCCGTTGTCTTCTTCTTCATATCCCTTTCAATTCGTACTAATATCGCAGCAGGTATGCGCTCCATCCCCCTTTCCCCTTTCGGAATGAGTTAAAACCTCTGGAAAAAGGTGTCGCTCCTTAATGGTGAAAAATTTTCGAATTTTGAAATCGTAATGGGCCCTTGAATTCGAACGGGATCCGTTTTTCCCCCCTTTTCTAATTTCGGATTCCCCCTCTATAAAACTCTTCTTTATTTTCCAGTAGAGGGGGGAGAAAATTTTTAGTGAGAAGTCACATAGAGAAATCATCCCTAAAGCTATAACAAATCGTTCAGAAAACCTACTTCAGGGACAATTTTTATTTTTATTTTCGTTTGGGGTTGCGAAAGCTTGGTCGGATTTGCGAAGTAAGTGCTTTGGTGGTGAGAGCTCGTTGACTCAGCTCGCTGCCCCGATAAAGGTATTATCCCTTTCCCTTTGCTAAGTTCTTCTTCATCATCTCGTGTTATTGTTGTGTTATTAATCTTGAATATGGCTAAGTGTTACTTTCTCGCTAATGAAATATGTTGTTGTGTTATTAATCTTGTTCAGGCCATTATTTTGATCAAATCATCCTAGCTTGTCTCGGCTTATTGTTGATGTCTAGTAATTGATCATTTTGGTTTGAGTTAGTATATTTTAGTTGTTGAGGTATAAAATATGTCCTTTTAGATATGATTTAAGCATAGAATGTTTCGATTAAGAGCTTTGGTTCCCTTTTGATTTTCGCATCTAATATGCTAGTGTAATAGTCTCTCTGTTTCAATGGCTAAAGATTATCTTGTTTAGCTATAATTTTGTTATAATGGTTTATTTTCCTTGTCCCCCAGAGGCTCATGCTTAGCTGTAACTAGTTCTCCCTTTAAGCTTGCTAGTCATTAACTAATATAATTGGTCTACAAAAAGAAGTAAATAGGAGGATAATTTTGTTTTCATTGGAAGTATTTATAATTGATATTGATGCCTCACTTTCTTGCATCCTATTATTATCTCGCCTATTTCTGATTCCCCCAAAGCAGTGGCTCCATGTCAAAATTAGTCCTTTATTTCGTAATATGTGGTCTTAGTCTTGATGTGTTATTTGTGCAGCAGTTCTTTTATTTTAGTTTGAGTTTAAGTCTAGTAAATTGTTAAATGTTTCTATGTTTGTTATTATTTAAGGTTGGTTCTCCTTTTGCTAACTTAGTTTTGTCTTTCTTTTCTTGCATGAAATCTATCTGAGTTCTAACATGAACTCCTATCCCCTGTCCTTGCCTCTTGACTTGTGTCGAAATCCAATGTTTCTCCTATATCGAGTCATCCGAAGTAGTGGAACAGGCTGCAACGCAGTCCCGGAAAGCCCCAAAAATGGGCTGTATACATCGATATACGTTGAAATACAGGTTGAAAATAGAGACGCGGGTGTACAGGAGTCCGAAAAATAGATTACATGCTTTTGTATACACTAAGCTGCAGGTTCTGGACACCGTATACAAGAATATACAGCCGTATATGGAAGTTGTATACACTGCATAAAGGCAGTGGAAAATGGGCCAAGGGTCCAGAAAATTGAATTTGGGCCAAAAGCCCCAAATTTGGCCTAACTTCCTTCTTTCTTTGTTTTATTTGGTTTCTAACTAATTTTTTTATTTAATTTGGTTTAACTTAATTAATTCCCCAAAAGATGAACATTCTTTATGTTAGTTTATTTTAATATAGTTCATTTTTTTTTATCAACTCTCATGCTTTTATTTAATATTTAGTCAAAGCTTTATATTTCATTTTCAATTAATTTAAAACAGTTCATGCTTTAATTAATCAAATCGGTTCTAATTATTTTTAAAATGATTTAAAAAGATAAATTCTAATTAATCTAGTTTCTTTTGTTAAAATTCTATTCGTTTGCATTTTAATTCAATTGTCTCACTTTGGATCCTTTTTCTCTAAAAAAATTAAACGAAATAAAATGTGTCATTTATTTAATTATTTTCCTCAAAGTTAGACAAATATTGTAAATTATTATTTTTATGTTAAAACACTTTTTTCTCTCTCTAAAAAAAATAGTCAAAACATATTTTAGTCAAATCGCTGGTCAACCGCAAGTTAGCGGACATTTCGAGGGCCTAACACCTTCTCGGAATGTACATTGAACTCGAATCCTTTTTCAATTGATTTTGTCTGTTTAAATCTTTTGAAAACTTTTAGTTTTTCTTGATTTTTACTAAAAAAAATTAAGTGGCAACTCTTTTATTTTGGAAATTTGATTTTTTTTTAAATTATAAGTTTAATCGATTTTTTGAAACTTAGTCATTTTTTTTTAATTTATATTTTTGAGTAAAACAACAGTTCTTTAATAAAATATCATGTTACTCTGGATATAATCAAAGCAAGGCAGGAATAAAAAATAACGATAGCAGAATAGCAAGATAAACAAAACAAATAATCATCCAAGTCAATACAATTCCACAAAGTAGAATCTAGAGAAGGTAGAGCATATGCAAACCTTACCCCTACCTCAAAGGTACATAAACTGTTCCTGATAGATCCTCGGCTCAAGAAAAACAATCGGAAGTAATGAAGATACAAGAAACAACAAACAATGACAAAAATAGCGGATAGTAACAGAACAGAAACTACAACAAACAATATACTAATTGAGGTACAAGAAACAACAGACAGAGTAACATACCAATGAGTTGTTTGCTAATTTCTCTACTTCTCCTTCATTTTCTTTTCCTATTTCCATGGATGCAATTCTCAAAATCTGAACAATTACTCTGCTAATTAGTCTCTAATTAACACCACAAATGTCTAGAAAAATATTAATTTGTAAAGAAGAAAGTATTAACACCCAAATATTCTTCAATAATCATACCTTAAAGTTGACAAAATGGGACAAAGCAGTTGAAATAATTACTTGGCCAAAGACAAACTTGAAAGGCCAAAGAAGATTTAAAAAGTTACTCCAGTACTCCTCGTCCACATTTAATTGTCATATTGCGCTTTTATAAAGTCAATTTTTTACAATTAATATGATGAAAAAAATACATCATAAAATATTAGTCAAAGTTGTTTGACTCTAAAAATAGAAATCATAACAATTAAAAGTGGATGAAGAAAATAATTTATATTCCCTTATATAAATTATTGTTTTTGAACATGATATCGCATAACACTTTTTTTATTTTCAAATATTTGACCTTTTAATTTATAAATTACGTAAAAAATATTATAATAAATAATAATTTAAAAAATATATGGAAAAAACAAATTTTAAAAAAATAACTCATTTGACTCTTGAAATCCGAATACAATCCCAGGGTGGAGGCAGTAGTACACATTATCATCTTAGTCTTTGTAAATTAAATAATTAATTGTCATCTTCAAGTCTCTGTAATCAATTGTGGAAAATATAATATTTTACACTCCACTTGTTTTGAGATTACCTATAAAAAGATTCTTTTTTTTTTGGGTTTGTAAACTTCCCTATCTGATTCCAATTGGATGTTCTTTTTGGGCGTGCTCGGTAGGGAAATAAAATATTATTCTAAAAATATTTGTGTATAAGACGTGAGAGTTAAGTGGTGGGTGTGTGGGGCTACGCGGGTGAGGGTGATGATGAGGTGTATTGAAAGTAGAAAAAGGGTATAATTTGTTGTTTTTCCTAAGAAAAAAGTCATTAAGATGTCTCAACTCATCCTCCTGATGCTTATTGCACGACACTTAAATTTTAAAAAGTGTCTAGATAATCATTTTGTATTAGTGTGTAAATGACTTTTCATGCAATAATAGGGGTATCTTGTGTCTTTTTCCCTTGATTAAACAAATATAAGATGATAATGTGTAACTTTTGACCATGAGACTAAAAAGAAAATATTAAAAAATTACTAGTCTAAAGTAGTCCTGTGAATTGTCTTTTTATATTGTTTAATTATTTCTTCTTTCTAGTAGTACCAATAATACTCCAATTCTCAATTCCTTTAACCACTTCTCATACACAATTATTTTTTTTGAAATATATCAATTTTTTACAATATGATTGGTCAATTTTTTTATTTAGAAAAATGAGTTTTTTATTTATAAAAATAAGGAAAATGACTTTTCTAATAAAAACAGGAGAAACAAGTTTCACAAGTGACATTCTAAAACATCATTTATTTTGAATCAGAGGGAGTAATACCTCACTGCTCAGACCAAATATATAGGAATCATAAAATTGCATGTTTTGGCTTTTAAATGGCCTAGTCTTTAACTTTTGTCTTTTAACAATCAAATTTATACCTAACAAGATATAAGTTTTTTAGCAACTGAATTATATCTCGACATAATTTATAAAATATTATGATACGAAAATATAAACTTATCCTCCTCCAAAAAAATTATTCAAAAGTGCAAATGACTAAATAGGAACCCCACCTAGTGAGACATTATTAGTGGGCTTATTTTAATAACTTTACAACTCTCTACTGGAAAAGAAAAGATTCTAATTACACCATTAATTTTCCTTCGTTCTTAGTTTGATGGAAGGAATTTTTTTTTGAACTACTTCGGCTTGATTAGTGAGAATGGAAAGAGGAAAAGAAAATGATGGACAAACAAATGGGGAAGATAACAAATCATTGGTATGTTGCATATAATATTTAATTATTTTTTTCATTCACATAATTAATTATTAGATAGTACAAGCACGTGCAAGCACGGGCCCAACTCTGTGCTATGGTAACTAAAAAAACATATATATATATTTTTCACTATATATATAGCCCGTGCAAGAAGACTTTCTCTTGATTTTTATGTTCTCTTCGATAGAACTAATTATTTTTCACTATAATTGAAAAGTTGAAGTCTTTGGCCCTTCAAAAATATATATTTTAAATGTACATTCCTTTTGTTACTTATAATTATATTTTTTTATTTGTTTAATTTTATATTGGATAATAAATACATAAGGTAAAATAAGCAAATCATGTATTAGTATTGACATTGCTTAAAGTGCATTAAGCATGTTTTAGTCCTAAAATGACAATATTCATTTACTTTGAAATTAAAAATGTTTTCCCCTTTTTATTACATAATTTTATTTTATACTGAAAAATTATAAGATTTTTTTTTTACTTTTATGATACAAAAAACTAAATGAAGCATTTTCATCTAAAAAAGACTAAAATATTTTCTCCATGTTGAATTCTTAAGTAGAGTACTATTTACTCATGAAAATATGAGTAAATATGGGTAAACTAGTATTTTACCCAACCAATTTCATACCCAATCCATTTTTACCTATATCAAATATGAGCGGGTTGAATTATTACTCATTTAATGTTGACCCATTTTCAACCCGCCCAAATTTTACCCAACCCGCCCATTTGTCACCCCTATTCTTAAGCCATTCCAAACATGTTGTACTTAGGCCACCAAGGCCCGATTCTCATGATCTAATACAAGGTTTGATTATATTCTTTCCCTTACGTTATCAACCATAGCAGATGATTTAGTACATAAAGTTTAACTTATACCAGAAAGATTAAATCATCGATTCTTATAGGTTATAAAGATTATATTCACCATCTAAGTTACACAAAGCAACAAAAACATACTTACAAGAAACATTAATTATGTGAATGAAAAAAATAATTAAATATAATAAACAACATACCAATGATTTGTTATCTTCCCCTTTTGTTTGTCCTTCATTTTCTTTTCCTCTTTCCATTCTCACTAATCAAGCCAAAGTAGTTTTTTTTTTAAAAATATTCCTTCCTTACAACTTCTCAAGAGAAACAATTTACATCAAACTAAGAATGAAGGAAAATCAAAGGTGTAATTAGAATCTTTTCTTTTCCAGTTGAGAGTTGTAAAGGTGTTAAAGATAAGCCCACTAATAATGTCTCACTAGGTGGGGTTCCTAATTGGTCTTTTGCCTTTTAAGAATATATTTTTCGGAAAAGGGTCAAAAATATTTTTAAACTACGTGAAATGAACAAAAAATCCTTCATTTATAGTTTGGCTCAAAAATGTCCTTGCCATCAATTTTCGTCACCTATATAACATCATAGTATATCCATCTTTAATTTTCATTTATATAACAATAAAAAATAATTATAATAAAATAAGAATTTTTTTTTTTTAAAAAAAATTGAAGTAGGATAAACATTCACTAATTTTAAAAAATATTATTAGAAAAAATATGTGTTAAGAAGAAAATAAATAATATATTTAGTTGGAAGGGCATTTTTGACCCATTAAATAATAATAAAGGCGTGTATGGACGAAAGTAATAAGGCAAGGGTAATTTTGGACCAAATTATAAACGGATGACATTTTTGTTCATTTCACATAGTTTAAGGGTGTTTCACTTATGAAACTTGTTTCTCCTGCTTTCATTTGAAAAGTCATTTCCTTATTTTTATAAATTAAAAACTCATTTTTCTAAAGAAAAAAATTGACCAATCAAATTTATTTTTTTTTTAAAAATATATTTCATAAAATTGTGTATGAGAAGTGCTTGGAGGAATTGAGAATTGGAGTATTATTGGTACTAGAAAGAAGAAATAATTAGACATTGAGAATTGGACAATATAAAAAGACAATTCACAAGACTACTTTAGACTAAAGTCATATTTTTATATTTTCTTTTTAGTCTCATGGTCAAAAAGTTACACCTGCATTATCATCTTATATCGTTCAATCAAGGGAAAAAGACATAAAATACCCCTATAATTGCATGAAAAGTCATTTACACACCAATAATTATAAACATATTTTACTTGATCTGTGCGTGTTTGTAGCTTAATTTTTTTTCTTCTTCTTGTCATACAGGTTTTATTTGTGTGCTTTATATAAAGCACCATAACCTATGGATCAATGGCAACAATGGGGTACTTAATGTATGGACAAAATTTAATGTCACAAATAAAATTAAATCTCCCTATCGGAAAAATTAGTTTGAAAATCGCGATATATACGATACTCGTTAATCCAATAACAAAGTATGCTCTTGTCGTCTCTCCAATTGTAACAACTATTGAAGATAAATTACCTTTACGAAAGAGTAAATTTATCGTGAGCTACTTCATTAGAACATTTTTTGTCATCAGCGCGGTCATTGTGGCATTAACCGTTCCATTTTTTGGATATGCCATGACATTTACAGGCGCGCTTTTGAACGTTACCGTGTCGATATTTTTACCATGCATATGCTACCTCAAGATCAAGAAGTCTTCATATTTGGAAGTTATGTTTATTGGGATGATTTTGGTTTCTGGTTCTTCAATTGCCATATCTGAAACTTACACTTCTTTGGAAAGCATAATTAGTCATGTCTAAAGGTGACAAATGAACGGTTTGGACAAAATTTGAATGGGTTAGAATGAACTGAATCAATGGGTCGTTGCTCAATCCTGTCCTAAGTTTATTTTGACTATAATAAGCTGAGTCAAGATGGGCTAAATAATGATTTGTAGCCCAAACCACTCGATCAACTTGACCCCACCATTTTTTTTTTTTGGAAATATCAATAAATATTATAAACTAAATATTCCCAAACCAATCAAACATTGTGTGCACAAATTCAATTAGGGAACCAATTTGCATAACTTCTATTTTCTGCTAAGCAAGTTAAATTCAAAGCCTAGTGACTTCACCGTTATAGTGGGTAAAGTTCAGTTACTTTAATGTGATAATCAATAAATTTGTGACTTTACTATCAAGGAACATACAAAAGAAAGGAAGACAAAACAAATACTATAGGAAGCATTACAAAACATTTAAGAAAAAGAAACCGTAAGAACAACAAAATAACGTTATGAAAAGCAAGTACACATACAATATAGAGAACACAAGTACTGATAGCTAGCTAGCACTGTTTAGAGTTGATAATGACAAAAATAGCAGATAGTAACAGAACAAAAACTACAACAAAACAATATACTAATCGAGGTACAAGAAACAACAGAGTAACATACCAATGAGTTGCTTGCTAATTTCTCTATTTCTCCTTCATTTTCTTTTCCTATTTCCATGTATGCAATTCTCAAAATCTGATGTAGAACACAACAATTAATCTACTAATTAGTCTCTAATTAACACCACAAATGTTTGAAAATATTAATTTGTAAAGAAGAAAGTATTAACACCCAAATAATCTTCAATAATCATACCTTAAAGTTGACAAAATGGGACAAAAGCAGTTGAAATAATTACTTGGCCAAAGACAAACTTGAAAGGCCAAAGAAGAGTTAAAAAATTACCCTAGTACTCCCCCGTCCACAGTTAATTGTCATATTGCGCTTTTAGAAAGTCAATTTTTAATTTGCATATCAATATGATGAAAAAATACATCATAAAATGTTAGTCAAAGTTGTTTGACTCTAAAAAAAGAAACCATAACAATTAAAAGTGGACGAAGGAAATAATTTATATAAATTATTATTTCTGAACATGATAGTATCACATAGCACTTTTTTTATTTTCAAATATTTGACCTTTTAATTTATATATTACGTGAAAATTATTATAAATTATAATAAATTAATAATTTAAAAATGGAAAAAGTAGATAATTTTTTTTTACCTCATTTAACTCTCGAAATCCGAATATTATCACAGGATGGAGGCAGTAGTACACATTATCATCTTAGTCTTTGTAAATTAATTGTCATCTTCAAGTCTCTGTAATCAATTGTGGAAAATATAATATTTTACACTCCACTTGTTTTGAGATTATTACTTATAAAAAAATTCTTTTTTTTTTGGTTTGTAAACTTCCCTATCTGATTCCAATTGGATGTTCTTTTTGGGCGTGCTCGGTAGGGAAAGAAAATATTATTCTAAAAATATTTGTGTATAAGGCGTGAGAGTTGAGTGGTGGGTGTGTGGGGCTACGCGAGTGAGGGTGATGATGAGATGTGTTGAGAGTGGAAAGAACACATTAAATGAGTGTCACTTGTATAATTTTATTTTTTTTAAAAGTCATTAAGTTGTCCCAACTCATTCTCCTTATGTATCGCAGACATTCGATGCTTATTGCATGACACATAAATTTTAAAAGGTGTTTAGATGATGATTTTGTAAGTTAATGTCATGTTAAAAGCCTATATTAAATACTTAACGTAATAAAGTATTAGTGTGTAAATGACTTTTCATGCAATTATAGGGGTATTTTATGCCCTTTTCCCTTGATTAAACAATATAAGATGATAATGTGTAACTTTTGACCATGAGACTAAAACGAAAATATATAAAAAAAAAGACTTTAATCTAAAGTAGTCTTGTGAATTGTCTTTTTATATTGCCCATTTCTCAATGTCTAATTATTTCTTCTTTCTAGCACCAATAATACTCCAATTTTCAATTCCTTTAACCACTTCTCATACACAATTTTTTTAAAAATGAGTTTTTGATTTATAAAAATAAAGAAAATGACTTTTCTAATAATATCGGAGAAATAAGTTTTACAAGCGACATTCTAAAACACTACTTATTTTGAAATGGAGGGAGTAACACCTCACTGCTTAAACCAAATAGGAATCATAAAATTGTATGTTTTGACTTTTAAATGGGCTTGTCTTTAACTTTTGTCCTTTAACAATCAAATTTATACCCAACAAGATATAATTTTTTTACCAATTGAAATCATATCCTGACATAATTTATAAAGTATTATGATACGATAATATAAGCTTATCCAACTAAATAAAGAGAAATGGTCAAAAATGCCCTTAAACTATATAAAATAAATAAAAATGCCCTCCGTTTATGATTTGGTCCAAAAATGCCCTTGCCGTCAATACTTCAGTCCATAAATGCCCTTATTGTTATTAAATAGATCAACAATGCCCATTTTCAAGATAAATATATTATTGATTTTCTTTTTAACACATTCTTTTTCTAATAATATTTTTTAAAATTAGCAAATATTTATCCTACTTCAACTCAGAAAAAAATAAAAAATAAAAATATTTCTTGTTTTATTATAATTATTTTTTATCGTTATATAAATAAAAATTAATAATAGATATACTTTGATCTTTATCGTCCATCAAAAGGGTACATGAAGTTATTCTATTTTAATTGATAACATGAGATTAAACAAGGGGATAGTACCATGCATGATCCCTCCGCCAGAGTTTCTAGATTGCAGAGGTTTGAAAATGACGGAGGGAGAGCTTTTGCCTTCGTCTGAATGATTACGTACTTCAAATGAACGAGCATACCGATTTCATTCAGCAAAGAATCTGTCAATGTTATACCGATTTCCTTTCTAGATTTTATATAACAAAAGTCATGCACAAGATCATGAATTTTGCAAATAGAATCTTTCAACTCAGACATCCATATATCTTCGTCCTTTGGATAACTTGCAAGGCAAACCAAACACGGCTTTACGTGATCTGACAAATGGTCATAACAAATCCCACTTTTGGAAGGTAAAGCATTCCCTACCAAAGGTGACTTCATAACTCAAGACTTGAACTCGAGACCTTTGATTAAAGATAAAAAAATACTTACCAGTCATAGATGTTTAGTATTTCAAACTCATATCGCTTTCAACAGAATCACTTCCATGGATAACATTCCTGCACAATTACAAACATTTGATAGGGTAAACATACTAGATTTACTTGGTCATCTCAAATAGCATCAATAGTACATAAGAGGGAAACACCTTTTTTTCCAAGATAAGATGCAGATTGAAGAACCTGAAATGGAACTT